ATTTAGATACACATTACCATGACTCATAATATAAAATAAAGGCATAAAATAATGTACTGTATTTCAGTCAATAMTGCGCACGTTCAGTGAGCACACCAACTGAACTCGGCTTCACTTACAGCCTGACCCTATTTCATATGACACTCCATCAATTTGGGGGTCCCAGCCTGAAATCATGAAGACCCCTGCAGTAGACCATTTCATATTTACAACCAAGCTCATGTCTTTCCATACAAAAGCTGAGGTTTCTATGAAAACGTCAAATGAATTAAACTAATTCAATGAAAACTCTCATCTAGGATTTTAAAGGAAAGTTTTACATGAATCAGTTTAGAGCAAATAAACCACAATTGGTCTATTGGTGTTGAAGTGGTGTTTCAGTCCTAAAGAACTAAAATTGGTCTGTCTCTATCACCATTGGTCACGGTCACATTAACAAGTCGTTTATATTTTTAAAATCTTTTCACGTCTCTGTGTCGTTTACTGACTTTTTCATAAAGTGTGTTTGTTCCCTGATAGAATCTGGCAGCCCAGAAGACCTATAACAATCTGGACGTAACAATACAAGAAGCCATTCGCAGTCGCACGTGTAATGTTGAAGGTGTCATCACCTGCTATCCTGATGAAACATTAGATGTGATTATAGAACGAATAGTCAAAGCTGAGGTTGGTGTTTTCCTGTGTGGCTTTAGATTTATTTAAACAAGAGATCAAGTTATAAATGACAATCACTAAGTTTTCTTTTCCATCCAGGTCCACCGGCTGGTTCTGGTGGACAGGGCTGATGTGGTAAAGGGTATTATCTCGCTGTCGGACCTGCTGCAGGCTTTGGTCTTAACGCCTGCGTGTATTGATGCCCTTTTGTCCTAGCAGTGGATGTTGGAGGTTCCCCTTTTCTGCTCCACTTTATCTCCCACTCCTTGTAACCCTCCACCCTGTGATCTGAAGTCAGCAGCAATCAATCTACTTTTATTTAATTGTGCTCCTCTGCTTGACTGACACATTACCTCATTTTGTAAAGACTGTGTTTAAATAGATTTCTGTCTGAATGTCGTGTTTTTCAGAAGTGAAACAAAAGTTAATTACGTGGAGGAAAAATTCCTAGCTGTGCTGAAAACAGCATAATGATCAGTGTTTTTGAAAATAAGACAGGGAGAGTTGAACTCCGTATGCCCCCTGTATAATGTTCCCACCTGATTAAATCGATGAATGTTTTATTTTTTTAATGAAATCATGTCATCAATTGCTGAAGTGTTTCATTTAATAAGCCTCAGAACAAAAGTTCAATCAACACTACTCTAACCGCTTGGTGGTGCTTCACCCTACAGTAAAAGAAAGCACGTGACTACTTTTCTACTCTTGCTGACCCTGGTGAAGCGGAAATTTGTCTCTCCTTTAAAATAAAATGAGTTTACTGGCGACAAGGCGTAACGTTTCGATTTTTTTCTTGTGTCCCTTTAAATGTACAGTAGGAAAATTGATTAGAAGCCCAAGTAACAAGTAAAAATGTCGTTTTTTTGTATGTAATTAAAAAGCCATATTTTTCTCCAGTAAAAAATAGCAGTGTTTGGATTCAAAGTATGCACCTACATTAATACATGTTCAGAACTTTAATTAAAATCCATGATTTAAAATAAATTTCACAATTTAAGATTAAGCCAGTAAGATTAGTCGATTTTATTTTTAAAGAGACAACCGGAAGCTTTGGGTTACTTCAGTGCGTCTTCTTGACGATGATCTTTCCGCGGTGATCTCTGAACACCRTAACAAAGTGGGGGAAACATGGCGAGCGGGGACGAGGCCAGCGGATGCCCCTCGGTTACCTCCTCTTCGGTCGGCCTGGAGGACCTGTTTCCCGCAGGGACGTCGGAGCAGACTTGCGGATTTGGGAACCCGGAGCTCGACCGCTTGCGGGAGCGTCTCCAGGCTTGGTTATCGCAGTACGAGCCCCTGCTGCTGTGGGCGCAGCGGCTGCTGGTCTGGGAGAGGCCGCTCTACAGCGTCTCCGCCGCCCTGACACTCAACACATTATTCTGGTAACCGAARAGTTCGTGTTTAATCGATGTTAAAACTTATTTAAAAGCTCGTCTTTACTTCACTGCTCGGTGTCAGAGAGGATATTGCGAATAAATGTCAAGATAAGTTAGCTAATCCCACGTCTTTAGGCTAATGCTAACCTAGCTTGTAGGTTAAAATCAGCTAGCACGGAGATGTGTCGCTGTATTTATCTTAATACATTATTGGACACCGGTATTTAAATCTGTTACACCCGTTAACTTTTTAAAAGCTTTTATTAGGCTGAGTGACCGGGCCTTGTTATCTAGCTGTGTCAGGCTCGTACGAAGCAGAGGGGCAAAGCTAACGTGCAGAGGCATACATGTATGTTTGTTTACACAGGCTTCTGTCCTCCACCTCTCTGCGGCCCCTGTTCCTGCTTAGCGTGACCCTGCTGGGGCTAATGCTGCTGGAAAGATGGAAGCCCAAGTTACCCATCATTACTGGTGAGTCCAGGCCATCCAGTGTAAATCACAGCAGTGTTATTACTGGTAATACGTGGGCTCAGGAGACTTTGACTTATTTCAAACAAGTCAGTAGTGTGAAAGACCGGGTTGCAGGGGCGGAGTGGGGAAACTTTTCAGCCCGGGACTTCAATGGCCAAGAACGGCCCCATTTTTGTACATATACAAAATTAGGCAAAGATGTAGCACTAGCATGTAATATTTTTGTATTTTTAATTCATCGATCAAAACCTGCGTCTTCACACTTCATAAACAATAAAGTAAATGTTTCTGCTGTGGTGCAATAATGTGTACTCGATCACGCCTGCATTATACTATGTACTGTAGCAGCTCTTTAAACTAAGGAGTACAGTTTGACCATCAACTAGTTTCATAGAACACAGTTCAGTTTTGTAGTACACAGGTGGTGCACCACAGGTGTGTTAGTTTATTCTCTCTAATGTTAAGCAATGAGCATCAGAAGCATTGTAATGTGTGTGAGGCCCAGTGGGGGTCTGGGGGTCCTCCCCCACAAAATTTTGAAACTAGTAGATGCAGTTTCCTGCTTTCTGGTGTATTTTACCAGGTTCCTAAACATACTTTTACCCACATAAAAAAAAAACACTTGATTATATTACTAAATTAGAGACAGGTTCTAGTTGAATCATCCTGTTTTTAAACTCAGTGCTGTGGCTCAGATAATGAAATTAAGGTGACAATTTATCCCAAACAAGGACTTTAGAGGAGAATTTTACTTTTATATTGTTTGTTCTTGATTTAATTTTATTTGTAACATGTCATTGTGCCAAGCAACTGCATGTGTAAAATATTAACTACACAATGAAGGGGCATTTATTTTTCTGATTAAATGACAGGTCTACTCATAACAAACTGACATGACATCATGCAGCCTTTTATCCATAATGACACTGTGTCAAACAGTGGTCATATAAAATGTAACTTTCATCAGTTTTATCATCCTCACATTAATGGTCCGGCCCAGTGGGATTCGTCTCAATTGTCCCAATTACCCACTCCGCCCTTGCCGGGTTATCTGTATTTAAATGTTGCAACTCTTTGCACATGGCTCCCAATTCATCCTATTTAGACTGAAATTAGTTTAGAGCTAAATTGCCACATAGCTTTTCAGATTATCCAGGCTTAATTAAATTTGTTTTTGTATTCTTACAGTTTAGCTCAACATTACAGTTGGAGATGCACTCATCGAAATCAGCTGATATTGTCCATTTTTAAAAACATTGTCCATATCAAGGATAATGAAGCTCCAACAGCTGCTACAACTGGCGCACTGTAGCCCACAGTTAGTCTTTTTTTTTTAAATAAAGAAAGTGCCTCTGTATCTTAAAGTGTACGAGTTCCTCTAAGGCAGGGGTGCCCAACCTTTTTTGAACCAAGAGCTACTTTTGAAGTCGGCAGTTTGCCAAGAGCTACTCGTCCAGTCTTAGTATCAAAAAAACATAATTTTTCGTCTCCCTACTCCTCACTTCTTTAAATAAAACAGAACGTAATGTTTTTCTAGTTTTATTTAATTTAAAGTATTGTCAAACAAAACTGTCTACTTAACCATATATTTAACTACAAAAAAAGATAAAATCCTTACTTAACTCCTGACAGAGAAACAGAAAAGTGATGCTCGAACAAAAAGGATCAAATTTTTTACCTCCTTCAATTAGTACTCACTGTAACGTGCGAGCTAAGAGGGCTGGAAATCTGCCCAGTGCGAGAACCACCGACTTAAATAACTTTGGAGCACGGGAACTCGTCTCCGTTTATTCAAAGAACTCCTCTTCTCTCCATACAGGGGAGGAAAAACAAAACTAAAGTCAAAGCACACAGTAAAAAACTCTCGTTTATACTATTACAAAAAGTGACTTACGATGGTGCAGATTCACAGATCTCCAACAACTTTTTCAAACCTCAATCTCTGTGCAGCATGCAGGATGGTGTCATCTGTAGGTGCTGGCCCTCACTGGTCCAGACTGCTGGCTCCAGACCATTCAAAGAGTTCTACCTGTTCACCACCTTACAAGAGAGACACACACACACACGCACACACACACACACACACACACACACACACACACACAGAGCCACGTTAGGTAGAGAAAACAACTGCAAAACAAATAAATAAATAACACAAAGGTGCCAGTCAGTGTATAAGACACTAGTCTTGTCTAAAATGTAATAAAAACAACATACAGACACATTGTGACAAGTCAAGAGGAGACAACTTTTTATGCAAGAAGCTATATAAAAATAAATGTATCTCTATCTTAGTGGGACTTCTGACACTGCCCAGGGTCTCAGGTGGGCAGTATGAGGTGGTTGAGGTGTAAGCAGGTCTCCAGATGATCATCAGTCTTTGTGGATCTGTTCTTGGACTTAATGATTTTCATGTGAGAGAAAGCTGACTCCAGAACTCTCCATCCATGCGACTTGTTGCTCTGGATTTGATACCAATGTCATTTTGCAGAGTCAGAACCTCATTTTCAACACTGGAGCAGTCCAGCTGAAACACGAATTTGGACACATCCATCCATCCTGGTGGACAGATGCACGTCTTATAAGCAGCCACTTTTATTTTTAAAATCACGGAGAAGCACGTCTGCAGCATCAAACGCTTCTTTCATAAATTCGTCATCGCTGAAAGATGTTTTCCGCAGTGTTTTTTTGTGTTGAGGCAGGTACGGGGCTGCATTAGCAGCCGATAGCTTAGGAGGGGGAATCCATCTCATAGCATCGGTGCATTGTTTTGAAAGAAATGCAGTTCGACGTTATCCTTTTTGGACAAGCCAAGGCAGCGCTCGAATTACATATGAGTCCTCTTCCCAGTCCAGGTGAAAATAATAAGTTTTTATTTGCTTGTTAGCTGTCTTTCGTTCATTTTTTTTCCCACCTCGCTGCTTTGTTGTGAACACGTGACCCTAAAGTCTCGCGAGACCGTGTTCGGAGTGCTGTTTCACCGCACCCAAAATTCGCGAGACTACGTCTGTGAGCGGAGCTGACGAGCCAGCTCGTCGGCTGTGCTGGGGATGGTGGAGGGAGCGTGTTCAAGGCTGGAATGTAAACTCCTCCCGCTTCTGCCGGAGAGCTCAGCGWGCGGACATGAGTCCCGGGCCGGAGCGCAACTGTTGCTCTCAGCTGACGAGCCGGCACTCAGCTGTTAGAGGAAGGTTGCGCTCCGTGAGCTACCGGGAACCAGCCGACGAGCTACTGGTCGATCGCGATCGACTGGTTGGGCACCCCTGCTCTAAGGTTTGTTAATTATGCATTTATTTAAATCAAGCAATTGTTAGATTTTGTTAAATGTTTTCACAAAAACATTGGCCAAAAATAATAAAAATTCCTAATTTCTAAAGATCGGCATTGACTCGCACCTTATTAATCAATATCTAGCTGCTGTAAGGCACTCAGGTTGTTTTAAATAAATGTTAAACCTTTAGTATTACTTGAAGGAATGCATTGTTGCTTTTTATGACAGAGCTTTACTCTAAAACTATCTTATGCTTAAAAAAGGACAAACATCTTGCTGTTTGGATCAAACCATGCAAATGACATTATACATGGACATATGCAATATTGTGAGATTTAACAAAATGTTGTAGCACTCAGAGAATATGTTGGGAATGACTCTCAGCTACTACCACTCCAAATTTGAGCTCAAAATCTATAAAATGGATTAAGTTGTAGCCATTTCTGTGTTGGCTAATGTTGATTAGCTGTGATGACTAGGCATGGGACAGTATGAAATTATGACTGTATGATAACCTTAGGCAAAAATATCACGGTTTCGGTATTATGATTACAGCTCTAAAAATCAATTTTTGAAATTTGTATTTCAAAACAGAAAAAGGAAATAGCTTTTCTATTATCATATTCAACTTTAATTATCTTTGGAAGCTGTTTTTAGATCTCAGAGGTGTTACACTGAAATTTATTTACCTGTGTGCATTCATACTTATGATTTTTAGCACCTAATGCWATTAGTTTATCCTGATAAAAGTTTACTTCTAATAGGATAACTGCTTTACTACTGCTTTATTATTTAAGACAAATCAGTGTATACTGCATGACTAGTCTTTTTATTGAAGTAATGTATCACGTTGGGAGTTTTTATTGTTTTTTAAATTTCAAAAGGGTTTTGACGTAAAGCTTATAATTATATGCACACAGAAACAAGAGATCACAACGCGTGTTTATGAAACGCACTTTCAGCTAACAAGCTGATTGGCTAACGGAGGCATTCAGTTTTATCGCCTTTCACTTAAAACTTATCAAATACACAATCCAACAACTCTAACAGTTTTGAAGAAAAGTTGTGATCAGCGCATTAAGCCACAACAACACGATATGTTTCACAATCTGATGCTAACGTTAGCTCGTTCATTTCAAGATAGCATAAACTTTACCTGGAGCTGCGATCATGTTAGATGTGTTKCCTCCACGGTCCACATTGCTGTCGTCTTTACAGAATCCTAAGTATTTTCATATAGCTGGCTTTATTATTTTAGACAGGGAAAAAGTTTGGGGAACTCTGTTCTYCAGCCACCAGCACAAACCCCCTCAGAGCTGCGAGTGCCGACAGGCAGCGGGAGTGCGCGGGGGAGGGGTCGCGTGGGGAAAGTCTGGAAAAATAAACAAAAAACACATATATCGTAGGCACGGTATGACAGAAAATTTTAGTGGTTTTGAAACCATGACTTTTTCATATCGCGGTATATACGTTTGAAACCGGTATTCGGCCCATGCCTAGTGATGACCATTAAGAGTTAGGTTGACTCCAAAAGGTAATCAATCGTACGTGTACAGCTATTGGTCACTTTCTGAGAGTTTCATTAAAATCCATTCAGTATATTTTGCTAACAGACTTTATTGGCAGAAAGGAAATATACATTTAAAAAAAAACCAGCATATTATTTTGTTTGTAATTGTAATATCTTGTCAGTGTTTTTATGTTTATTTTTATCTATATTACTTTGTCATGTGATAAATCTGTTTTTTTAATGCATTACTTAATAAAAATGACTTGACTTTGCTAAATGAATGAACATGGTGTACTTATATCAGATGTGGTTATATACAGTAGCTTTATGTTTCTGAGCCTCTGTGCACAAACAGAAGCATATTTTGTGTAGTTTTATCTGATGATTGTACAAAAATCCACTTTTTAAAATTCCTCTGAACTCACATGTTGCTCATGATTTAATTGTGTGTTTTCTTTTTTTACCCCCTCATGCAGTTCAACATGCAGAGGCTCAGTCTGAACAAAGGTGAGCTCATAAGAAATTTAAAATATTTTTTTCTAGCTGCTTTTTCTGTTTTCTATCATAGTTTAAATAATAATAAAGAGTATTGTGTTGTCTTTCCCCGTCTCTTCAAAAACACAACATCCTACATCCCTACTACACTTACGTCTGTGTTTGCTTTTTTCCACCAACACAGTCAAACGATGAGCTCAGAGCACCATCTRCTCAGCGTTCCTGAGCTCAGCCACCACCTGGCTGAGAGCTACCTGACCTGCTGCCTGTATCTGCAGGAGACGCTGCAGTACAAACGGCGAAACCACGGCAAGGTACGACCTGACCGCCACTAGCTGTTAACCCTTGCAGATGTTTATGTTCTAAAAGGCGCTTTCTGTTTGGACAGTTCTGTACGATGATGTGCAGCGGCTGCTTTGTGCTGGCTGTGGTTGGACATTACGTGCCAGGAATCATGATATCGTATATTATCGGTGAGTCATTTTGTGTCTAATTAACATGTAGAAACACTGTTGAGCTGTCTGGTTGTCATGACAGACTGTGTGTGTGTGTGTGTGTGTGTGTACATACATGTGTTTTTTTTTTACCTGGTGGGGACAATTTTTGACCATTTTCCTGGTACACACAGCCTGGTGAGGACCCACTGTTCCTTATGGGGACAAAAACCCGAAAATACCGTTGGTGGGTCAGGGGTTAGGTTTAGGGTAAGGGGTCAGGGTTAGGCTAGAAATAACAGGTAAATGAATTAAAGTCAATGCAAAAGTCCCCATGAGGATATAAGAGCAAACTTGTGTGTGTGTAGAGTAAAAACAGCAGCGCTGAGATTACAGAGATCTTAAACTGGGATTTTTATTCTCTGTGGGTGATAAGGGTTTTATTCATTCGCATATGTGCTTGTGTTCGTTTGTGAACCACTGAATGAGTTTTAATAAAACTTACAAATTGTAATCATGGGATGTAGATCTACAACTGATTACTTCTCGAGTCAAGCTGATTAGAGATAGATGGATACAGGTGTTTGAAGGCAGATACCGATTATTTCAGTCTAACCGATTTGCCAATACTGTATGTGCAGCCGATTTATTTTGCCCGATTCTTGAAGCCGACACTCCTTTTTCTTCCTCCATTAACATGAAAAAAATAATGATAACAAATGTTACACAAGTCTCAATTTAAACAAAGAAGAAATATTTATTAACTGAGCTTAATCTGGTGTAGGCTGAGTGTAGTGCTGCCACACAGGATTAAAAATTTCAGTCATTTCTTACAAAAAAATATTAAAGATTTTTATATCTAGTGCTATTTTTTCTTTTTGACTTGTATATTAATCAGATTAGGGCTGGACGATGTGGCGAATAAATTATCACGATTAATTTTTTTCATCTCGTCCAGTCATGATTATTGTGAAGATTATTTTATTAACCTAAAAAGTGTGTAATTTATAAAGTGACTGAAAAATAATTTAACAAATATATAGCTACAGAAAGAAAGAAAAGTAATGGCTGTTCTTTCACTTTAACTAATATAACAAATAGCTGTGGTTCAGTAGAACATTAAATTGTTTTTGCAAGGTGTTGAAATTTTACGAAGAACAAAACATTCTTTATGTGTAAAACAGAGAATCTCACATTAGTAAAGTTATCTTTTTGTAAAATTAAAGTTTTAGAATTGAATTTCACAATAAATATGTCATAAGAAACATAAACCCTACAAACGGCAACAATTTGTGCACACTTRCCTATTGGGTAGAATCTAAGCTCATTTTTTACCTCTGTTATGGAAGGAATCCCCCACCCCCCTCCTGTTTACAGTGCTGTCAAAAAACAAACAAAGCTTTTTCATTTTTTCTTAAGGAGTATCTGATTCTGCACACACAACAAGACCTCGGATAAAATCCCACCTTCTGAGTGTTGAGGAGTTTGCGGCATCTCTCTCAGCTCACTGTTTGTGATGCAACTCAGACAAGTGGTCTTCATGTTTTCTTACGCGTCCAGCCCACCGTGTGCTGACAAAACTTTCAAAAAAGTTCTTCTCTAGAAAAATAACTGCTGGGACATCGTCCTGCCCTAAACGTTAACTGTATTTTTGGAGGAAATTGCTGTTTTAGTGAGTCTGTTTGCCGTGGGTCGAGGCTGAATTTCATTTCTCTCTCTCTCGTGTTGGGAGGGGAGCTCACTCCACGTGCCTGTTAGCAGATAACAGCAGGTACAGGGAGCGGCAGCGATACCTCAGAAACTCACCCAAATAAGCAAATTCCATGAGGTTCAGCATTTTACACTGGATTACATTTTGTTTGGTCAAGTCCGTGATTCCATCCGCGTTTCTTTAGCAACTTATAAGCGKAAGTGGAACAGGTGAAGGTGGATTCTGATTGGCTGATGTCTCACACATTTTTGCCACGTTTGATCGAGTAAAGAGGCTCACAGCGGCAATGCATGCGCTCACATGATCTCAACAAGGCGCGGATCAGCCAAACGCACGAACGTATCGGCTAATATGATGCAAGGAAAAAACACAACTATTGGCCAAAAATATTGTCCGGCTGATGTGTCAGTTGACCTATCGAGCTGATTCAAGATGGCACCACAGCTAACTGACCTTTAATAGACACAAACATGACTATAAGTCTGTGTTTTTTTTTACAGATATTGACAGATAATCTGCTGTATTAGAAGCTGAGGCTCAACCCCATTACGTATTCTGAGCGCTAACAGATTGTGCAAAACCTTAGAGTCAACTCTATCTGTTAGCAAAATATCCTATAAACCACTGAAGTGATTTAATGTTCAAGGTACAATCAACGGATGTTAATTTACAACTGAATAACTTTAGAGCTAACCCAATTCAAAATGGCTGCCACAACCAGCTGGCTTTGAAAACATAGAAGTCACTGAGTTTATAAACATGGAGCTAAAACATGATGTTTGTTACTGAGTCATTTACACACTTAAAACAGTTAAACACTAATTTCTCAACAATCTCTAAYACTGTGGCATAAAAGATGGTGACGGGTGATATGCAGTCATTTAAGAAATGCTAGGTCTTTAATTTCTCTTTTATTGCCTTGAAACCAGTTTCATTTATTTATTTTTTTATAAAGTCAACTGTCCTGTTTTGTGTTTATGTCCAGCTCTAAGCGTGCTGCTCTGGCCGTTGGTGGTGTATCACGAACTGATCCAGAGGATGTACACGGGCTTGGAGCCGATCCTGATGAAACTGGACTACAGCATGAAGGGAGACACCGAGCATCGCAAGCACGACAAGAGGAGTGAGCACCGTCCTCATCTCAATAACACGGTTCCCTTTAAAACCGAGTTTGAGCTGTGCTACATCACATTTCTTCATTCTGTTTACAATACTGACCCTCAGACATGTTATGTGGTTGTTTAAACTAAACGTCTTTAGTTTCTTTGGTTTATTGATGCATGAAATTAGGCACATTTTTGTCAATCTCTCTATAGTTGTTTGAATTTGCTGTTGATTAATGTCCTTCTCAGTTATGTTAATGGTGTGTGTGTGTATGTGTGTGTTTTTAACAGAGGTAAAGAAGGAGATGGAAGTGGGAGATGAGCCTCTAGTGGAGACAGAAAGTGAGAGTGATGAGGACGAGGAGGAATTGTCTTGTTTTGCTCCGACGGTATGAACACACACACCTCACACCTCGACTTAAAATACACAGGATGTGGTTTTTTTGCGGTGAAGTGTGTTAAACTCTGAGGCTGCTGTAGGACTCGTTACTGCGAGGACTCGTATGTTGGCTGTGCTGGAGTCAGCACTGGCCTCTGAATGCAGTCGTCTGTTAGTGGAATGAAACTCTGCTGCTGCGGTGCTTGACTTGCTGGATTACCTTTCAGGTCCTAACACATTCCTTTACAGTGAGTGGGAGGTGTGGACAGGGCAGATCAGGAAATGATAATATTATCAGGTGAATTGTTTCACTAATGACTGGACAAGTACAGAGAAAAGAAGTAGAGGCAGGTTTTCTCGCATTCTTTTTAGAAACCTTGTAGTGTAAAAATAAAAACACTTGTTTTTAGGAATCAGAGCCAGTTCAGTAAAATGATTTTGTTTTTTGTTTTTTTAGCGATCTTCAAACCTGCTCTGTAACATTTACTCAAAAAAACAAAACAAACAAAAAAAAAAAACGAGATGTCAGTGTTTGAGTCATCACGTCTCCGTCTGTGTCACTCTGAACCAGCTTAAAATTTACTCTTTTTCATTATGAAATCATTAAAAAAAGATTATGTCTAAGTTTATAAGAAACATGTAAAACAAACAACTACATTTTGACAACAATTTGTAGGTCTCACACTCTATTTAAAAAACAAACAAACAAAAACTGTGGGGTGATTTGCCAACCAGTGCGAGACAGACAGCTCAGCTTGTGCTCGTGATGTTACACTGCAGTGGATTTCTATTTTAAATTATTAATTATCTATTTAAATAATCAGGTTTTTTTTTACACAAAACTGTATTTAAAGGTATCTTTTAAGAGTTATCAAAAAATGTAACTGCATCTAGCATTAATGACTTTCATGAACAAACTCACAAGCAAAAACATGCAGAAAGAAATAAACTATTCATTCACCTATAAGCATTAGTAATTATGTTACATAATGTTTTTAAATCAATGTGTGGAGCATATATTTATGGCTACTTCTGTGAACAAACACATCTCATCAAATAATGTTAAAGGCATTTTTCATTACAATTGTTTATTTTATTTATTAGTATTTATAAAAGAAGCACCCCAAAGTTTGGTATTTATTGAATCTTATAGAGAAGAAATGTTAATTTTTACATTTTTTTATGCATTATGAACTTTAGTTGTTATTTATTCAGGTGTAAAAACTGATGTCAGGTCTGTGTTAAAATGTGTGTATATGGATTTTTCTTTCCTTTCCAAATAGTTCAAAGAATGTTTGTGTTTTACGGTCAGGTGGATGTGAAAACTACAGCACTGGCTATGGCCATCACTGACTCCGAGCTGTCAGACGAAGAGGCATCTATACTGGAGAGTGGGGGGTTCTCTGTGTCCAGAGCCACCACCCCCCAGCTAACGGACCTCTCTGAAGGTGAGTCTCAGTAACGACAGAGACACGCTCCAGTTTAGTTAGTAGGAATTTAAATCTAGAATTAATCTCAAACAAGCTTTTATTGAGGTGTTCTTTACTGCCTCAGACTTGGACCAGCATAGTTTACACAGCGACCCCGAGGAGGCATTCCTGCGGGACCTCCCAGAGTTCCCCTCGGTCGAGGAGTTCCCATCCATTGAGCACGGTCTGCTTCACTTTCCCCATCGAGGCTTGGCTCAGGTGGACGGTGCACAGGCCGGTGCCGAGTTGGAGAAGGAGCCACTGAGTCCCGCCAGCCTCCTCATCCAGCACCTGGCGTCGCCCCTCCACTTTGTGAACACGCATTTCAACGGACACGGCCGACCGCCCGGCAGCGAGGAGGCGCAGAGGCGGGCGGCGGAGGGCCGGGACGCAGCAGTGACCCAGGGAGCCCAGCGCTCCTTGGAGGCGCTGAGCGAGGAGATCGTGAGCACGGCCATCTCCACCGTGGTGCAGAACACTCTGTCGGCCCTGCTGCGCTCCAGCGAGGCCAGCGACGAGCCCTCCCTGGCCGAGTTCCTCCCTACCGAAACCCCACCTGGCCCTCTGGAGACCCCCACCCAATCCACCGACACCGCTAGCAACACGGTCATTACAGCGGGGGCGCCGGATCCCAACACGGACCTGGACGATGGGGTGAAGGCAGAAAGCGGCGCCGGCGAAGAGTTCCCAGATGACACGCTGGTTCCGATGGAGGAGGAGGACTTTGAGCTGTTGGACCAAAGTGAACTGGAGCAGGTGGATGAGGGGCTGGAGCTCAGCTCTGACAGAGAGGTGGGCGGAGCTTCATCAGACACAACTACATTGGTTCTACAGCCACAGTCATAGCCCACCCTCTTATCCCCACCTTTATATGTTGTTGTTTTTATTTGTATGTTAAAAACGACTTTATTTACCCTCATCTGCAACGCATTATTCAAAGACTCTGTTGGTGGTTGAAAACATTCTGCTCTTTACATTTCATCATTCTTCTCAGCTTTGGTATCTGAGTTGTTTCATGTTAGATGGCAGGAGGCAGTCATGCTACCAAAGCTCTACTGTACCATTAAAAGGGACATGATATGCTTTTATTTTGGTATATTAACATGTTGGAGGCTTTGGTCAAAATACAATCTTACTGCCTCCTTTTCAAACATTTATTCAAAACAGTTTCATTTTTTGAGTTGCTTACACTTTTATTATTTTCAGTATTCTTTAAGGCTGCATCCACACTTCAGGTCTTAATGCTCAGATCTGAATTTCTCTGCGTGGACGTTCACGTGACCATTTAAAATGAACYGCCATCTGACTCCAGTGTGATGTCAAATACAAGCGCTCTGTTTAAGTAAACATGGATGCTGCAGATGTTAGCACGTTTATTCTGAAGTTGTTGTGCAATCAGAATTTTTTTTCTGCTCTCCTTGTTTCAGCCAGTGTTTACATTTAAACCACCTGTCTCTTGCCGCCTACTCCAGCGCAGCGTGTAGTTTGGAATGGGATGCGAGTGACGTGCTGAAAGTGAAACTATCTAAAGCATTGATCCAGTAACTTTTGTATCGATGTGATGACATCACATCATCTTGTTCACACTGGTCTGTTGGAGGTCGAGCATAGCCTCACATAAAGTCAGAGAATAGTGAAGAAAAAAGTTCAGAAATATGCTGTCGCACCAAAACAGCAGCAAGGGGTTTTTAATTTCCCACTGCTGAGGTTCAGTGAATGCATCGTGATTACAGGTTGGAGGCAGAATAACCGAACTCAGAGGTGGAAACATGACTCATATTTGGAGATAATTTCAGACCTAGAAGGCTCAAAAAAAAAAAAACTGGGTTGCATTTTTTTGTGTGTAAAGTCACTTTACTATTCCATGCTTTCAAGCACAAATAATGCATTTTTCTTTAGCAGCATGTCCAGTTTAACACTCATGGTACATTAGAGGTTTGGTTTTGTTGTCTGTTAACTTGTTTTAACAGTTCTGAAGATGTCGTTATTGTTTCTGAATGCGTTCAAATCTAAAACTGAAGTTTAGCATCCTGCTAACAACAAGGATGCCTTGGCTTTTGGATGAATCCGTCCATGCAGATGTTTATCTAGTTTATTAAAATAAAATTTAAAAAAAGGTAAAATGTTGGATCTATAACAAATATTATATATGCTATAAATTATTTAATTTAATTACCAGCTGATGAAACTTTAACAAAAATCTTAGGGGAGTGCTGAGAGTGTATTTTATGTCTTTGATTAACCCATAATGATTGTAAATACTCGTTTTAATGACACAGTGTATGTTCAAGTGTAATCGTTAAAGAAAAAAAATACATTGGCATCTTTTTTTTTTGAGTTGAAGCAATTTTCGGGGATTTATTGCCTGAAAATTAGATCTTTGACATTCTTGGATGTTAAGAACATAAAAAAAATTACAAAAGTGAGTTTTATGCGAGAGAAGTCAAAAGAAACTCCCCCTGTGGGACAGAAGGCACATTTTTTTATTGACATCTGTGAATATTTCTTACACCCAAACATAATTGATCCATATGTGACTGAATTTGCTCTATAGGTCCTTGTACTGTTTGTACAGTCATCACTCGTTTATTTTTTTATTTTATTTTTTGCATGCGCTGCATCACACGTTTGAAAATTAGCAGTCAATTTTCCTGAGARTTGCTCTTCCAGGAGCACATTTCTGTTGCTGTCCTTGATTAGAAATGGGTCAAAAGGTCACCAGATGAACTGCTTTCAGAGAGATCTTAATAAAGCTTTAGGTAACCACTCAGCATCCAGCTCTCAGGGTGTGTGTGTGGGGGTGTGGGTGTGGGTGTGTGTGATGGGGTCGTACAGCAGGATTATAACAGGATATGTATTCTTTTCTCCATCCGTCGTAGAGCTTTGTATTTCTACTAACCGTTCCTGTTTTTCCAGTTGTTTTATAGTGTAGAAATGATATGAGAAAAAAAAACTACAAAAGTGTATTTTCTGCATGTAAAAATGGCTCTCTGTTCATGTTGTCAACTGCACAATTTGTGGGAAAAAATACTAGATTGAATGTTTCAAGTAAAAACAAAAAAGCTCAGATTCTTTGATATTTTGTTACTAATGATGGAATAAAAGTTTGCTGTAAATAGACATGGGTGGTGTTAGTAGAAAAGTCTGGTAGTCATGTTTGACTTTTTACATCTGAACATATTAGTGGTGGTCCAATACCAGCCTCAAATACTTGCAGATACTTTGGACCGATACCACTTTTATGTTCTGCGACGTCATCTCCTGTTCCACTTTTTAAATAATTGAGGGCAATTTTTTTTAAATGTCCGTAGTTTGGAGATATAAGATAAAGACAGATGAAAAGACAGCAGGTTGTTTGCTGTGTTATAAAAGTAATGTGTTTCTAACATCACTGTGTACTGTTTAAATAATAAATCATTAACTACTTGTAAGTACACAATTAGTATCAGGAAACCTCTAAATATTGCTGTGGATAGATTTTACAAACAGCTGGTAAATAAAAACAAAAGCTGATTAACATAAGTTGTATCACTGGACACGATCAAACTGTTGTCCACTTCTGCTTTATTTATTATTCTTTAAATGTGTTTTCTGACRTCTCACTATCCAAGTTCTTTTTCCTGTAAAAGAAAAAAAAAATGCAATATCTCGGAGTAAAAGTTGGGACAGGATGAAAAAGGGTGGCATTTCTAGATGTAACTAACGTTTCTTGACTCCATTTCATCCTATTTTAACTCAAACACAGGAGTTGAAAGAATGTGACTTATAATACGCTGCCTGTAACTCAAATAACGTAGATGCAATGGTGGGCACAGTTCCACTAAAGCAYTAAGAGGGGAACTAATTTCCTGAYTKGTGCTTTAGGGCTTTTGCTAGTTTTCAAATTTATTAGTGGATTAGCGCTTGCTAAATTCATAGGCTAAATTTAGAAGCACTAACTGAGGTCTGTAAATGTTGTTGATCAACATTAATGTTGATGAGGGTGAAAGCTGTCACACATTTTGTTCATATGTGTCACTTATCCACCAGGTGACAATATATGAACCCAAATACAGCTGTGGAATGTCAATGATAAGGCTTAAAGGGGCAATATCATGTAAAATCAACTTATTTGAGTTTTATATCATGTTATAATGTTATACTCTCATAAAAAAACATGCCCAAAGCCTTGCTTTGATTCTTTCATGCATGTTTGAGAAATCCTGCAGCATTTTTAGGCAGCCATGCTGAGGAGCAAAACGACAGGTGAGGACCAGAAACGCCACTGGGATGTGTCTGTAAGCTGAGCTTCCTCATCGCGGAGCCCCCCCCACACACACACACACACCCCGCCCATAACTCCTGCAGGCTCTCGAAAGTGAAAGTTAAAATGTCTGTGGAGCTCCTAACATTAGTTCTCACTCAGTGAAGCTCTTTTCAGATTAAAAATACCTTTGAGGAAATGTATTTTCAGATGCCAAGTAAACTGCATCATGGCAGCCCCCCACCCCCCGCCAGCACCGAAATGGGTAAGACAGAAGCAGAAGGTGGCTCTTAAAGAGACAGAGGCCAATTTCAAGTCATTTAGAAGAGGAAGTGATGAGAAGATAAGTTAATTTTATATTTAAACATAAAACAACATTTTAATAACAACTAAATGTGACATAGATACTTTATTATGGTATAGTATTTAAATGTATGCCTGACAAACACATAATATTGGCCCTTTAAACAGATCAATGTCATGTCAAATTTATTTGTATAGCACATTAAAACAAAAGCTGACAGTGCTTCACAGTTCAGTCAAGACATATCAAAAAATAAATAATAGATCCAAATACAGAAACACAATATAATAAATGAAAAATCTCTTAACTGAACCTCCAACTCTGTCTTAACCATAAGCCAAAGAAAATAAATGGGTCTTCAGGATCCATGATTAGTTGTAACATTACACTTTATTTGAGAAACATTTATTTTAACTGTAAAAGACTGTAAATATACTATAGACAGTTTAGTTTTTATCATTTTTAAACTAAAAGTTTAAAAACAGGCTAAGCTGAGGTTCTTCCATGAAGCAGCTCTCTTGTCCTCCATCCATATTTTCAGTTGTAGACTGAATGGGCCTCATGCAAGAACCGTTCGTACGCACAGATTTGTTCTTAAATTGTGCGTACG